AAATAAGAATAATTGTTAAAGAACTAAAATCAAATTAAAATGATTGATAGTACCTCCCTTGGGCTAGCTTATGAACCTATGAAGGGACCAATCTTACTTTTTTAGATGGGACCATTAGGCTGTTAGGAAAATATGTTGGCCACCTATTCTTTCATTGCTACTTGTCTCATGGCCTGTTGTTGTTTGCTATTTTTTAGTCCAGATCACTTGCATCCACAGACTATGTTGAAATTCTAATTGTAATTTTTGTTCAATATGATCATAGGTTTATTTCTAGTATTAACCCCAATTTTTAATGGATTCTTATATTTGATATTTTTCTCATATCTATTTAATTTCAAGCTTAAGTTTTGACTCTTATTCAATTATAGGTTAAATTTCTTTTCCAAAACTAAATTAAATTCCTCTCAAACTAAGTTTTTATATAATTTCATGCTCACTTTCAATATTTGGTTCAGTTTCTTACTTTTATTTGGGTAGAAGTTCAGGTTCATTAATGGGTTATAGTGTGTTACAAATTCAAGCTTAACAACATCACATGTAAATTCATAATATAATTGTAAACTATCTTCTGCATCTAATCCATCCTTAAATGAATATCATGAATTATAATTTTTTCAATAATATCACATTTGAATAAACATGATTCAGAATATACAAACTTGTGCCGAATGTAATAACAACCAAATTGGGAATGTTTTCTTGCAAATTTCAATGTTGAATAAGAAAATTGAAGAGGCTCATCAAATCACAAATAAAAATTATTAATCCCTTGAACTAAACATTGAAATTTTCTTATTGGCATAACTTTGATCTCTTCATTTTGATTCCCTTGTCTCCTTGCATCCAATATGCTGCAGATTAATCATACATCTCATATAGAAGTTTCAGCTATTCTTTTCTTCTCTTTACATTGCTACTTTTGTTTCAGGCTGATGCTCTAATACGATTATTGCCCTTGATTGGATCCTCAAGTATCAGGTTTATATCTTAACGCGCTTTTTTTTTATATAAATTTTGAAGAGCATGTCAATTAAAACATTTTATCAGCACCAAATGAATGATGATGATGACTTTACTAACTTTTATCCTGTCATGTTTAGCACTGCTTTTCTAGTTGCAATCACAGGTGTTTTGGCCCCGTTACTTGAGGAGACTGTGTTTCGAGGTTTTTTAATGGCATCCTTAACTAAGTGGTAAAATTTAAAGTACCAGCTTTCTTTATTTATTACTTCAAGTAAGTGAACCATCATTTTTAGCTTGTTTGTATGTAATATTCTATTTTGAAATTTAATTTTTAGGTGCTTTTTGAGAAATCTTCAGTTTTATGATACATGATTTATTAAAAAGTTATGCTTAAGATACTTTTATATATGATTGGTTAAAATCCTTAACTGCGTATGGTTAAAATAGATTTTAAATATTTGGTTGCTGGGCAGGCTTCAATAATAAGCCTGTTTATTTATGGATGTGATACTTAGCATCACATCATTTTTCATAGCATCTCAGATGATATTACTCTATATGTTGTTTGGAAGATGAAACTATATGCTAATAATTAGCTTTCGCACACCATCGATATGGTTTACTATGGGTAGTGCATAAAAAATACCATATCTTTGATGTTGGACACTGAACGAGGCTTCTTGTTCTTCTGCATGTTTATGAGATAGTATGAGCAAACTTCGTTATGTTTTATCTTATTCATAGGATTTTATGAATTTAACTCACTTCATTAGCCAAGCTGAAATAGTTGGGACAAGGCTAATCTGATAATGTCCACTATCGTACATCTCGTCCAATTGATTTTTGTATCATCTTATTTTAAAATTGCTCTGATCGTTTTTAGATTGACTTGTAATATAGGTTTCCAACGCCAATAGCAGTTCTTCTCAGTTCTGCAGCTTTTGCTCTTGCACACCTCACCCCTGGAGAGTTTCCTCAACTATTTGTGCTTGGTAAATTTCTTAAGTTTGATCATTAGTTTTTTCATGTATAGATTATTTTTGAATTAATATTCTCAATAAATATTTAATTGCAATGCTTAAGTGAGGTCCGCCGTGTTCATGAGAGAGTTTGTGATGCACTTTCCATGCCACTCTTGCTTTCATCTTCTATTTTAATTTGCTTACTATGATGCATTGATGTAGATACGGTGATATCAATATGGTATGATATGGACCCGAGACCTGCCTATTATTAAATTATGACATGAACATGCATTTGACTTGATATTATAATATTATACTTGAAAATTAAAGAAAATAATATATAGTAATTACACTAATTAAACAAATATAAAATAAATTCATATAATAATAAATTATTTGATTTGCTCATAAAATGAGAAACATATCTAAATTTTTAAAGTATCTTACACTCAATTGAAGAAGAAATAGTCATATGATATTATAGAATCTTAGCTTGAACATGAGAAAATTGATTATTTCGTAAAAAATAAAAATCATAAGAAAAATAGAGTGAGACAGTGAAAATAAAATTAGTATTAAGTAACTATCAAGTTCTTTAAATAATATATTTATAAATATAAAAATAGATGTGTCAGACTAAGTCATTTATATAATTTTAATTAAAATTCATTATTTATGATATGCATTTCTGACATGCGATCATTATTTTTTTCTTTATTTTTTTAATTGACTCAGATTGTGTTCTACATTTGTCTAGTAAGTCCATGTCTCTTACACATGCCAACATGACATGATCCATTATTATGAAGTGTATGTGCATTATTATTTACTTAACATTACTCTATTTCTTTCCCCCTTTTTGGTTAATGCACTTTAAATTTGTTTGTCATTTATTTTTCTCAAAAAAAACTATTATTTGTCTGTAGCTCTATCGTAATATTAGTCCCTGTGTCTTGGGAGTAATGGGACATGATATTTGTTTTGCTCTGGTTATTTCAATCATTTCCTCTGTTTTTCTAGGGAGCTGCCGTTTTCTTCATTTCCTATCCTATGAAATTTTCTTTTGTATTAATTTGGGTTTAATCCCACATAGGATAAATTTAAACTATATTGTAGTTGAAATGCTAAGTGCTGAGCTCCACCAATAGGATTCAACTTTTGAGTTGAAAATGGGTTTGATCATTGGCTTATTTATCTCAAATATGGTTTCCCTTTGGTTTGCACTCTCTAATAATTAGTATCAAAGTGACGATTATGTGGAATTAAATGGCTTGAAGTCTGAGGTTGAGAAATGTAATTACTTATAGAGTTTTGATCTTTGAAAAACTAAGATGTATTATTCTTGGCGGACATTGACTTCTGGTAGTACTGATTGGCCCTGCCAATATATAGAGAGCATTAGTAAAGCAAACAAGGCATAGATGAATATAAAAGCTCTCTCGGTAATTCAAGTACATTTGTTTGATTATATCTTAATTGAAAGCTTGGACGAAAAATTAGTAAAAAAGTTTGTGGCTCAACTTAGTCTTTATGTATGCCTAAAAGTTTCTTCAATAAACTCTATTTTAAGCACAAACTATTTATTTATACTTGCTGAAGGCATTGCCGTTAAATCACATCTGAATGAGCTCGAATGAGTTCAGTATCATTATTTGAGATTTGAGAATATTGATGTCATTGTTGATAATTTTATCAGTACTATGCTTTTACCTTCTTATTGCAAACGTTACATTTTTATGATGCCATACTATATAAAAGAGACAAAATCAGCTTAAGGAATATCAATTAATGATGTGATTGATAAGCTTGAGGGTGTTAGAGATGAAAAGCTATTTGAGGGATCTTTGGTTAGGGGGAGATCTTCTGAGATAAAATCTATTTCTAATCATAGCAAAAGTAAGTATTGCGGCAAGTTCAAGTGTACTAATTCTTTATATTATAAGAAAAATGACATTTAAAAAGAGACAAGCTTACCTTAAACTGGAATGAGTGGAATATAGATGATAACCATAAGGAGGAATAGTCAACACATTCTACTGTTATTGAATATGGATCTAGCTTAGATATAAGTCATGCGTTTGGTAACTAATGGAGATAATTGCAAATAGTAGTTTATTAGGCATTCAACTTGTTTATATCATGCGCTCTTACAAGATGCTTTTCACTTATGAGTCATATTTTGATGACTTTGTTTCTTTGAGAGGTTGTACTGTCTGGAACATTATTGGTTCTCACATCTTGAAGTTGAGCATGCTTTATTATGTCATTTTGGCGCTAGCGGGATGGTGCATGCACTATCTTAGTATGTGATATCTTTGAATGCTTTTTGTGTTGTAAGATACATGTTTTTGGGGATGATGCAAAAGGGCTTTGGTTTTCATGAAGGCAAATAGAATCGGTGGATTTTCTATGTTATCAAGTGCAACTTTGTGTAGAGCTATTCAATTTTATCAACTTCAGTTAAATGTTGAGATTTGAAGAAGCATAAAAATTTTTGCTTATTTGTTGCGAGCATTGGTTTGAAATAAAATGGCACGTGGTTTGGTGGATTTTGGAGATAATAAGGAGGATTAGTTTTATGTTTCATAATTTGTTCAAGTGTAGGAGGTATCATTGTAACATTTAAAGTGAGGCTATAACCATTTTAGGCATAGTTTAGAAAGAGAGCATGCCTCAATTTCATGCACACAAACATGCTTTGATTTTGCACCTCAGTATCATCAATGAGGTTCAGTGAGATTCATGCCTTATTAGACCGTGGCATATGCCTCAAGAAAATTGAGGCATAAGAGGGAGTGCTTATGAGATTCTCATTGAAAGTGTATGATTGAGAGAACGGGGGGTAGGGATCATTTGTGAGAACGGGGGGTAGGGATCATTTGTGTCAATCGGAAGTCTCATTGTTTAGGATAAGCTTTTTTTTTTCTTTCATACAAAGACAGGGATCATGAAGAATACTCTAGTAATCGAAGAATGTTTTAAAGATAGAGATGAGTCTGAATCAAAGATTGTTGAATTATTACATATGATGACTTTCTTGAAGATGTTAAAAGTGAGGGCGAGGCCCTTGTAAATCCTGATCATAGTTGTGTATTTTAATTTTAAATGAGTGCTTGCTCTGAATCTAATTTCAAACTTTTATTTTACATAGAAATTTAATGTTGAGGCATCCTTTTTTTTTCCCCTTATTATGTGATTTTATGGTTTTTTCTTTATGATAAAAACTAAATAAGTTTGCATATGATTTATATCATTTTTATAAATTATTATTAATTTTATGGTTTTTAGTTTTCCTTTTTGAGACTTATGCTTCAATCTGTGTTGAGGCTTATATCTCACCTTGCCAAGGGAAAAGGCCTCAGTTTTCAGTTTAAGCTTTTAAAACTTTGTTTTTGGAAGTACACAAATGTAGTATTTTATGGATCAATATTCGCATGGAACATATGTAGTTTTGAGCTTTTTGGTAAATGCTAAGTAGTTTTCCACCAATGTTATATTTTTTTATATTACTGAACAAAAGATTATCTTGACTGCCTTATCAAAACCAAACCAGGGACTGCCCTAGGGTTTTCTTATGCTCAAACGCGCAATCTGCTCACTCCCATCACCATACATGCATTTTGGAACTCTGGAGTGATATTAGTACTGACATTTCTTCAGGTAAAACAATGTTTTTGAAATTTTTAAAAATTTAAAGCTGTTTGGGAACATTTTTGTTGTTTATAATCCTTTTTTTTATTTTGTATATGTTTTGATCTAAAACAAAATATGTTTGACATAATTGATTAATATGTTTATTTTTTAAAACACTCTAAACATTTAAAAATAATTAAGTATTTTTAAAAATATGTTAATTTATTTTCAGAAATAAAAGATAAAAATGTTTTAAAAATATAGTCAACAAATTTATTTAAAAAATAATAATAATAAAGTTGATCCCAAATAAGCCCTTAGATTATTTAGTATTGCTATTATTGATGGAATTATTGCATAAATTTTTAACAAAAAATTATTTCATTTTTCTTGTTCTAATTTTAATCTTATTTTTTCTTTTTTGGTCTGCATGTTACACAGCTCCAAGGTTATGATATCCGAGAGTTATTGCAGGCGTCTTGAAAGGGAGTGATATGCATTATGGTTCTGAGTTCTCTGAGTTCTTTCATCAATCTTATTATTTTCTTTTTTAAGAAAAATGGACTAAACAGGTGATTTAAAAACAAGAAATGTTTGGCGTTTTAGCCGATGAAATGGATTATTTGACCGCATCAATTTGAGTTTGTATATTTTATTACTTATTGTTTATCATTTTTTTAATTGCTCTTAATAAAAAAAGAGTGGGTTTCATTGAATGCATGCTTTAGTTTAAATCTATAGCCTGCAATGTTAGGCCATTAGTATAATCAACTTATTTTTCTCAGTTATTTCTCTAATTGACGAATAGTTTCGTATTATGACTTATTTTATAATACTAATTTATATAGATTTTTATTGCTCTTATTTTAATTTTTTTCTCTATATTAGAATTTATTTTTGTGAGAATATATCTATTATAGACATTAGATGACAGTATGTGAGTTTATTTGCTAGTATGATTATACAATTATTTATTTATTTAGATTTTGTAAAATTACTTATTTTATTTATATATGAAAATCTCTATATGCGTTTAAATTTTTAACTCGTTTAAATACCTTTTTACTTGTCATAAATAAATCAAGTTTAAATATTGAAAAATTTAAACAAAACAAACTTGAACAATATATAAAAGTTTGACATAAACTCAAGCCGATTATGAACTTATAATTGTATCAATTCAAGCCCCAAATTATGATATACTCTGCTTAATTACAGCCCTATTGAATTTGCTTGCATACGTTGAGTTCCTCCGTTGAACTCACCTGCATGCGTCAAGGCCGCCGCTAAGTTCGCTTATTGATCCTCATCCCCTCACATAATTGCCTAAACATTACAGGTTAGGCGATGTAGATACGAATAAATCAGAGGAGGAAGATGACGGAATCAGCTTTTTCCATAAAGCAAATGTTTGTATAGTACAGACTATATATAGAAAAGTTTGTGAGAGGTGAGGTGGTTATGAAATTAATGGGTAGATGTAGTCTGGTGTAGGCGGACGGTCCTGATGCTCCAAGGTGTTGTTTTCAGTGCTGCAACCGGTAAACGGAGCAGTCACCTTTACATCCCCTGCAAATTGATGGTTTCGGCCGAAAACATCAGCATGTTGGTCAGCTGCTGGAATCTGGAGTTGGAGGAGCTTTAGTAAAGACCTCGGCTAGTTGATCTTACGTGGTGATGTAATGAACAGTGAGTTATTTCTTGTGAAAGTGCTCACAAATGAAGTGATAGTCAGCTCAATATGTTTGGTGTGAGTATGGAAGACAGGGATTATTGGCGAGTGATATAGCTTAGACGTTGTCGCAATTTAAAGTGGTGAGTTGATGTTGAGGGGTGCCGACACTCAGCTTCGGCAAAGCAGCACGCTATAATGACTTGTTTCTTGGCAAACCAAGAGACTAGAGTGTGACTGATGAATGCACAAGTCGGATGTCAATTTGCAGTCAATTGGATTACCGGCCCAGTACAAGTTGTAGTAAGCCGTGAGGTGGAGCTGGAGCGGTATATGGGAAAACCAAGGGAGATGGTGCCATTGAGATGGCAGAGCATTTTTTTGAGTTGAGTGAAATGATGCATGGTAGGTTGTTGCATGTTCTGAGAGATGAGGTTGAAAGCAAATGCAAGGTCTGGACGAGTGAGGGTTAAGTATTGTAGTGAGCAAACAATTTGGCGTTAGGGTGTTGGGTTCGATAGGGGAGTAGTATCCGGTGGGGTGGGGGATTGTTTGGGTGAACTTGGGTTGGAGACCGGTTTGGAATTGCGCATGCCAGTTGAAGTAAGAATGTCAATAGCAGTGATTGAGAGAGGTGAAGACCATAGGTGGTGTTTGTGATTTTGGTACCTAAGAAGTGTGAAAGAGGACCGAGAGTTTTCATGTGAAATTGGGATTGAAGTTTTTGGACAATGGATGTGATGATCAAGGTATTGGTTCCGGTGACCAGAATGTCATCGACTTATATGAGCATGTAGAGACATATTGTAGTTGTGTGGAGACAGAAGAAAGAAGAATCGTCTGAGTTAGGCTTGAAGTCAAGAGTGTGGAGGTAAGTGGAGAGTGGCGAACCATTGGCGGGGAGCCTATTCGAGACTGTAGAGAGCCTTTTCTAGGACTCAAACGTGGTAAGGATGAGTGGAATTAACAAAGCCCTACGGTTGCGACATATAGATGGTTTCGTGAAGGTTACCGTGGAGAATTACATTGGCAACATCCAGCTGAAGAATGAGCCATTGATTAGTGAGAGCAATGGTGATAAGTACCCTGATGGTGGGGAGCTTTGCAACGGGGTTGAATGTTTCGTTATAGTCTAGGCCTTGCTGTTATTTTTAGCCTTGAGCTATACGGATCAGTCGGCGTTAAGTTTAGTACGATTGGTCCATTTGGAGCCGAGGACATTGTAATGTGGGGAAGGTGGGACTAGAATCCATGTTTCTTGAGATTGGAGGGCTTGGAATTCCGCAGACATGGCTTCTCTCCACTGGGGATATTTGATTGTGGATGAGTAGCTTGTGGGTTCAGTGGTCACCTGATGAGTGAAATTTATAATTTGACATGGTTTGAGGTGACCTGTCTGAAATCGGGTTTGCATGGGATGAGTTGATGTCGTTGAAGGTTTTGTGGTAGGGTGTTCGGATGAGGGTGCTTCAGTGGGTAAGTGAGCACATGTGGTGATTGTTGGTATGGCCGGTGAGGTGAGTGGCATATGCTGACGGTGAGGTGAGTGGCATGGGGGCTGTTGTGTGTGAGATTGGGTTGGATATTGTGGAGGCTGGTGTGAGAAGTGGAGGTGCTTGTGGCGTATGCGGAGGATCTAGAGGTGGTGTGGATTGAATTGGTCTGTGAAATGGAAATTTGTCTTCGTTAAAGATAATATGGCGGGATGTGTAGATTTTATTTGACGTTGGATCAAGAAAGCGATAACTATTTTGGGTGGATGCATAACCGAGAAAAACACATGGGGTGGAGAGAGGAGCTAATTTGTTTTGAGCATAAGACCTTAGCCACAGATAGCAGAGGCAACCGGAAACTTTGAGATGATTGTAGGAAGGTGGTCAGTTGTGGAGAAGTTAGTAGGGGGACTTCTTGTTATTGGTGCAAGCGGGTAGGTGATTGATGAGGTATGTGGTGGTGAGGATGGTGTCGGCCCAGAATTGAGGTGGTGGTGAAGCGGTTGTCATTAGGGAGCAAATGGTTTCAAGCAGATTACAATGTTTGCAATCGGCCACGCAGTTTTGTTTTGTTGTATAGGGGCGGGAGTGTTGGTGGAGAATGCCATGTTGACTGGTTATGAGTTGAAAGATTTTGTTGATATATTCTCCCTCCATCGATCAAAAGAATTTAATTTATATGGATAGTTGATTTTCCGCGAGTGACTTGAAGTGTTGAAATTTTTTAGTGGTTTCATTTTTATAGCGTTGAAGGTAAACCCAAATATATTAAGTAAAATTATCAATAAACATTAAGTAATATTTATAATTTTGTATAGATAGCGTGGAGGAAGGTCTCCATTCATCGAGCTCTTATTGCGTGTGGACGGCGCATGCCGTCCAATGAAATTTAAAAAAAAAATAAAAAAATGAGTCCACTGACATACACTTTTTGTTAAAGGAAAGTTTTTATTGGCCTCTACGTGCGGTGGGCGGACACAGTAATTTTACCCATTCATCAGTGTGAATTAACCTAAGTTGAAATGGTGACTTGGAACTAAAAATTGAAAAGGAGAGCTTGTGGCTCTCTGCTACATGACAAGAGTTAGTGTACTTGAAAATGCAAATAAAAGCTTGAATTAGTAAAGCTTATGTAGTGAAGCATAATCCCTAGAATTATAAGCTTGTCGTCTTCTTATAATTATATAGAAATATAGATTTCTCATGATCTAATAAAGGAAAGTCCCTATTTACTGTTTGCGTTCAGTAAGCAAAAGAGGAAGAGTTTCTTGCATCTCCCCATTTCCTAAGCTAAT